ACCTGAACGTAAATTTTCTCATTTTCCACCCGACTTCGTGTCTAACTTCCTTTAAAATCCTGCTATCTTTATTTTTATTATTATTATTATTTTTTGTGCGTAACAACTTGCCTCCTCCTCAAGACTCCTAAGCATCATTTCTTATGATGTTTAGGAGTTAGCGGGCCGTCATCTGAGGCCACGTCAGCCTCAGATCCGACCTCCAACTTTCGAGGCTACGTTGGACCCGACCTCCATTTATCGCGGACTGGTGCTGGCTTGTACGTTTGTCGATCTTGCACTACCATTTCTTCAGCACCTCCCCTGGCAGAAGTCGTGATCGTTTTCTTTGAAAAAAGATTCTAACCTCCCTGCCTTGGATGCTAAACTGGCCAGATCTCGAACGTCGTGGGCCGTTAAAGCCTCCCGCAGTCGTGTATGCATATTCCTGACCACCAGGTTGGTTATTTCGCTCTCCGCAATGACTGTCGGACAACGCCCCTTCATTAGACGTGTCCTTTCGATGAACTGTGAGGCTGTCTCTTCTGGATATTGTGTCAGTTCCAACAAATCGGAAAGAAAGACGGCTGGTAAAGGGTTGAAGAATCTAGTATGGAACGCCATCTCTAAACCTTTCCAGGTTTGTATTTGCCCAGGTGGTAGATTTACAAACCATGAAAAAGCTGCTCTGGTAAGAGACAAACCAAATAGTTGCAGTTTATAGAAAGGGTTATTACCGACCTCTCCTAACTGTGCTGTGAACCGACCCACATGCTCTATGGTGGAGGATCCGTCTTCTCCTGAGAAAACATGAAAGTCTGGCGGTCGATAATTCCTCGGGAGAGGATACTCATTGATGATTCTCTCTGGAAATGGCCTTTGATACGTCGGTCGGTTCACCGTTTGCGGGTTCATTCCGAAATGCACCCGCAAAACTTGAGCGATATCCTCTGGATCTATCCTGGGTGGAACAGAATCTTCCGTAGAGAAGGCTAGCTCGGCTGGGATGGGATTATGAATCTGATCTCCCAATCTTTCTTCTCTGGGGACGGTTGGCTCGTCTGGGATGGGATTATGAGCCTGTCCTTCCAATCTCTCTTCCCTTACGATATTCGGCTGAGTATTATCAACTCTTGGTCCCAAAGAAACATTATCTGAGAAATTTAGAGGAGTCTTCCCAATATCTGTTCGGTTGAAAGTTGTGACGCTTGGAAATGTACTGTCAACATACATTGGCCCTGCAAACGTTGATCCTAGAAAAGTCGTCTGAAAACGAGAAGGTGACACGGCTGGAGGCATGTTTGAATACAAGGTGAATCTGGAGAACGTCTGATCCAACATGTTCTGCATTAGATTTTGTTGTTAACGCAACATGATGTTCTGTTGCTCGCGCAACATATTCTGCATAGCCAAAGTTTGTTGATTGTTCAATTGTTGAACATAAGACAACCAATCGGTAGGTGGTTGGGGAATCTCCCATGGATTTGGCATGACAGGTGGTAAAATATTTTCTCCCACTGGTGCTGATGATGATTGAGGTTGTGCGCCTACCATACTGATTTTTCTGATAATTCGGCCGGACCTCAGTCGTATGAAATTCTCTGTTGATGTAGGATCAGCAATCTTGCCTTTCTCCCATTGTGGTCGCAAATTTGTTGATATATTTTTTCAACAATAAAAAGTAAAATCCGAAAATAGGAATTTATCTTCGAACTTGATTAATTAGTGCCTGAGATTAGGAATCTCTAAACACTGTAAAATAAACTAGAAAATAAAAAGACTGGAATTTAAAGTGGTGATCCCCGAATCTCTTGACTTTGTTATCGTTCGAAGATGATTGAAGATGATCTGCCAGTTGCTGACCCCAATCCTTAAATATTCCTCAGAAGAGACGTTTCAAAACCGTCGCCAGCAACCGCCGTCAACCGCCTCCAACGAAACATTTTGAAACGTCGTCTGGTCGGTTACGGCAACCGTCTCGCCAACCGCATAACCCAACCGACCAATCCAGAGACTAACTGGTCGCTAAACCAAACGACTCCTTGGTCGCCCCATCAAGCGACCACCCTTTGCTCTTTCCAGACGATTCAATGGTCGCCCCAACCAAGCGACTGAACTACTATTCACTTAATTAGGCGACTAATTAACAGACCTTCGCTTGGTCCAGACTCCATATTGGCCGACTCAACTGATGGCGGACCAACCGACAGCGGACCATCCGACCTGCAGACTATCCGACCTGCGGACCTTCAGACTTGCGGACCTTCCAACCTGCTTATCCGACCACAGACCTTCCGACTTGTTGGTCGAGCCGCAAACCTCCCGACTTGCGGACCATCCGTCTTGCAGACCATCCGACTTGCAGACCATCCGACCTGCGGACCTTCAGACCTCCGGACCTTCCGACCTGCTTATCTGACCGCGGACCAACCGACCGGACCAACCGACCTGAACGTAAATTTTCTCCTTTTCCACCCGACTTCGTGTCTAACTTCCTTTAAGATCCTGCTATCCTTATTTTTATTATTATTATTATTTTTTGTGCGTAATACAATGAAAATACAATTATTTAATCCACCAACAATAATGTTGCTAAGCTTGTTTTGTGAGAAATGCCTGAAGTAAATATGTGAAATTCATAGAATAAGTCGAATCATCATAGTATTGAGATTGTATGTTTGGCGAGGAATTAAGTGATTGAATCTACGTTAAAAAAAATCATGCAGGATTACAACACTATGCCAATAAATCAATAATAGTTAAAAAAACAAAATAAATTAAATTAAAACAAAAAATATGCTGCTCTGGGATTTGATCCGATTGTAACACAATGTCACGTGATTGAATATAAACCTCATTTTATGCATGTCTGCATAATATAAAATAGTAATTAGTTAGCACTTGTATCAATTTATGTAATATAAATAGAAAAATGGAAGAAAAAAGACACATCGCTGAGAGATTTGATCTGATTGTAACACAAATCCATGTGGTTGAATGCACGCCTCGGTTATTATTGGCTACAAAATAAATAATAACTTTAAATAAAATTTGAACAATAATATATATATATAGTCATTGATATGATAAAAAAAAATCAATATGAAAAAAATACCTGTTGCCAGAGGATTTGATCATGTTGTAACACAAAACCATGTGTTTGAAAGAAAACCTCATTCACTGGTGAATGCATAATAAATAAAATTATAAGATAAAATATGAACAAATAACATCTAATTAATAATCAATGGTAAGTATTTGTGTCTCAGCTAATACCTTACTTGTATGAACTGTAGATTGCTTGTTTCTTCTTGATTTCTTTTCCAATCCGCTTTTAGGTCTTTTACCAGAACGATTTTTTTTTTTTTATTCTTAATCCCTTTAACATGGACATCGCCTTCTCTACTCAAAGCAGATTGAGTGTGTAGATTCAATTCGACATCCTCGCAACGCAATCCCCCACAATCAACCTTACTGTTCAGTAACTGTTCATTGACTCTTTCAGTTGCCTTTATAAATAGATCTTTTACAAACTCATACGTTTCTTTACTCTCCGATGCTTTTGTAACTAGTTTGTTGGAGAACATACTCAAATTCTTATATCGAGTACTTAAATCTTTCTTCAGGTCATCCGGTCCGTGTTCAGAGGAAATCATCCCACTATGTAAACTACTTACTCTTGTACCCTTTGTCAATCTCTTCATTATATATCGATCAAGAATTCTCAAAATATTATTTGTTGTAAGAATTTTAAGTCCATGACAGCATAGTATCCTGGAAAACTCAAATTTCTTACAAAAAACTACAACAAACAATATCATCGGATGAGTTGTATGTAACAACATGATTCCTTGATCTTCTAAGATAACTGACCCGATACTCTGTAATAGCCTCATGCGTGCTACTAACAACTACAATACAATCATAAGTCTCGCTCAATTCATGTTGGAAAATCTTGAACACTTCCAGGGTGTACAAGCTTGCAGCATGCTTCAATATTTGAACTGGCATTGATAGAACCATAGTGCTAATACTTGCTTTGAAATTAGCTGTCAACTGTTTATAACGGTGAGATTCAACCAAATTTTTAAATCTTTCAAAAATTTGACGCAAGTTGTTCTTATGGCTGAGATACTTCTTGATGATACTGTTGATACTCTCACTGTGTTGTTTCATAGTAAAATCAGCCCAAAAAAACCGAAGAATGTATACCAATGCCCATTTTTCTTTAAGTTTAAACAATCTTTTCAACCAATCATTTTCCCTCAAATCATATTTTTCCAGCATGTCATTACATCCCTCCAAAAAATCATTTTCTTCCTCAAAGTCATATATACACTTTCTGAAGTCATGTCCAAAGCTTCTATGTTTAGAAAAATTAAAGCTCTGATGTATTGCGGCATTCTGATAGATATGCCAAATACATAACCTAAAATATTGAGCAAAAATGAAAAATTATATCAATCCAAAATATACAATATTTTCTAAAGCATAACACATTAGTTGACACCATAATGATATATATGTAAAATAACTAACTTTTGGTGGGTCTCAGGCCATGTTGAAGCTAATGCGTTTGCCCTAGCTTGATCTTGATCAATCAAAATCATAGTGGGCTTTCTTCCATACATTGTGTTAGCGAAAGTGTGAAACAACCACTCAAATGAGCGAATAGTCTCGTTATATAAAAGTGATACGCCAAAAATTATTGTTTGCTTATGATGATTAACTCCAACAAACAAGGCCATCGGACGATTTTCCCTATTTTTTCTATATGTAGTATCGAAACTTACTACATCACTGAAATCAACATAATCGGCTTTCATCATGCCATCAATCCAAAAAATATTTGTAATCAAGCCATCCTTGTCCACTGGAATCGAATAAGAAAAATTTGGGTCTCTAGTTTGCATCCCTTGCAAATATTATAGTACTCATCCCGTATCCCCAACATCTATGTACTTCGTTCTTTTAGATCGCAAGTAGTTTTTAACATCCTACCCGATTAATCCTAAGCTATCTCAGCCTCCTGCTCCTTTAACCATGAGATCGTATGAGACTTTTGGAGTAAGTCCCACACATTCGGCCATATCAATTTGCGCAGCATAAGCATCCTCTATCATTATGTGGGATAGAAAAAAATGAGATTTTTGAGGACTAGTCAAATTATGATTATAGTCCGACACAAACTTAGATACTTGATATTTCTTGCCATCTCTCAAACAAATTTTCATCATAGCCTTGCATCCAAATCTTGTTATAGCTCGTAGATTTTTCACATTGACATTTCTTTTATCTTCTCTCTTTTGACCTTCGGCACTACAAACAAATTGCCTATCAATCATATTTCCACTTACCTTATGAAATTTGTGTTTTTTAACGCCAAAACCTACTTTCTTGGCATAAGATAAGTAGAACTGATATGCATCTTCTTCCGAATTAAACTCCATTCCAATTTTAGGAGTTTCTTCCAAAGTGGCCGGAGGATCATTCGACTCAATTGTTTGTGCTGGACTTTCACCATGATTTCCAATGTCATCTTCCATATTCATAAATTCTAATCTACGAGGCGCTGATTTATTCATTGCTGAAGTATTTTCTTCCATATAATAAGAAAAAACTACAAGATCTACAATAAACAAATACGATAAGAAAAAAATTGATATTAAAATATTGATAAAAATATCTTACAAATAAATAACTTAAGGGGAAAAATCAGTGAAGATATATTAAAATATTGATAAAAATATTTTGCAAGTAAATAGCTTAGGGAAAAATCAGTGAGGATATATTTTAGTAAAATATTATTTTTTGACATTAAAAAAATATAAAGTAAAACTCTTACTGATTTTGTGAGAGAGGAAGAGGAAAAGACGAGATTGGAAAGTGGAAACACACCAAAACTATAATGACAATTAAATCAGTGAGTATTATATGCAAAATATTTCATACAAATAGAAAGTAAAAATGAATTAAATAAATTATCGAACCGAAATAGAAGCTATTTCAGAAAAGTTGAAGGGGAACACAAAGAGCTAATCGTTCGTGAAAGGAGTGAAATCTAGGGCTTGGGATTTAGTTGCAATATAAGGATCATTTTGCAAATAAAAGGAGAAGTAAAAGAACTTATAATGAAATGTCACACGTCTTACCTTTATTGCACGGGACAGTGGGGCAATGGAAATAATAGGATAGATGATCCCAATCGGGATATAAGGCATGTAATGAAATACTTTCATCTTCATAAATTATCATCATTACTCCATGTCTCTTTCAAATTTCTTATTTTACATATATTAATATAACTATATACATGTAATACATATATATAGCCTTATATATATATCTATATACTTATAATATTTTATACATTATTTATTATATAATACATTATCAGCACAAAACTCTTGTCCTATTTTATTTTTGGTAAGTTTATTTTTATACTATCTATATTATCTATTTTTCAAACTATAGAAAACTTTGCAAAATTTTCTTTTAAATCTGAGTCTTACCGGAAATAATTTTCTGACTTAGTCCTTGGATGTAGAAATGCATCTGGTTTCTATGGGTCTTGTTCATACAATTGCCAGTGAAAATACGGCTACAAGCCAAGATCGGGCCAGGGCTATTATTTTTATTCGTCACCATTTGGACATTTTTTTACTGTCCGAATATTTGATGGTGAAAGATCCACTTGATTTGTGGAATGAATTGAGGGAGAGATTTGGGCACTTGAAATATATCACTCTCCCAAAAGCCCAACATGATTGGCTTAACCTGCGGTTGCAGAATTTTAAAACTGTTGCAGATTAACTCTGCAATCCATCAGATTTTATCTCAGTTGAAACTCTGCGGAAAAAATGTTACTTAGAATGATGAATTGGAAAAGACTTTCTCTACCTTCCATGCTTCTAATATTATGCTACAACAACATTATCGTGAGAAAAACTTTCAAAAGTACTCACAGCTCATTGCATGTCTTTTATTAGCTGAACAAAATAATAAATTACTGATGAAAAATCATCAGTCCCGGCCCGCTAGTTCCAGTCCGTTCCTTGAAGCGAACATGATATTTTCTGAATGAGGCCATAGACATGGTAGAGGCCGTGGATGTGGTCTTGATCTTGAGAGTCAATGCGGTCGATATACCCCTTACAATCGCTGCAATTTCGACATTAACAAGATGCAAAATAAACTCCAATATGGGGATGTAGCCGGAAAGGCTAAACAGGGAAAGAGGCCAATCAACATTTGTAATCGGTGTGACATTGAAGACCATTGGGCCAATACTTGCAGAAGAGTCAAACACCTAACTAATCTTTATCAAGCCTTGTTGCAAAAAAAAAGGAAGAAGGTTGAGATTAATCACGTTGATAATGATGACGACCCCAATGATGAACTTCTAGATTACGACACAACACATTTTTGATATAGCAGATTTTGCCGTAGATCCAACAAACCCCTAGTGACACACATACTATATCATTTTACATTATGCTATTTTATATTTTGTAATATTTAAATTATCGCATATTCCTTTCTATAATGGATTTTGTAATATTTATATTTGCTTTTATTAATACTGCATTTATTTATATTTGAAGGCTAAATGGATAAATGATGCAAATATGTATTTCATTGACAGTGCAACGACACATGTTATATTGAAGCACAAAAAATATTTCTCCCATTTGAAAAGGGAAATGATGAATGTCAATACAATTAGTGACAGTGCGAAATTAATTGAAGGTTTTGGAGAAGCCATTATATTCCTCGATGAAATTGTGATACAATATGCACTGTTGGCCACTAAAGCTCGAACAAAATTTACTGAGCTTTTATGAAATTCAGAAAAAATGGTTATCACATTGAAACTATGAGTGATACCGATAGTGAATTTTTATTGATCACCAATATCATTGATAAAAAGAAATGTGTCATTGAGATATTGCCCTCACTCTCTATTGGTTTATATTATATCAGATTAGGTGTTGTTGAAACATACCTCACGGTAGATCAAAAACTTACCAATTTTCAAATATGACATGATCGCCTTAGGCATCATGACAGTATAATAATGAGGCGAATAATTGAAAATTCACATGACCATTCATTAAAAGGTCAAAAAATATTAAATTCAAATGAGTTAACCTGTGTTGCCTGCACTCAGGGAAAATTGATAACCAAGTCATCACCAACTAAAGTAGGTATTGAATCACCTACAGTTTTTTAAAAGAATACACGGGGATATATGTTTACCGATAGACCCACTGTGCGGGCAATTTAAATATTTTATGATGTGATTTATGTTGCCCGTTTCAGCTTGGGGGCATGCAATCTTACATGCAGGAACACTTATAAGAATGAGGCTGACAAAATATCATAGCTATTCCCTTATGCAATTAGTATTTGGTCACGAACCAAAAATATCTCATCTACGTATTTTTGGGTGTGTTGTTTATGTTCCTATTCCATCCTCCAAATGTACAAAAATGAGTACTCAACGTAGATTGGGCATTTATGTCGGATATGAATCGCCGTCAATTATAAAATATCTTGAACCTATGATGGGTGAGTTATTCACTGCAAGATTTGAATATTGTCATTTTGACGAATCATATTTTTCGACATTATGGGAAGACAGAAATGAACCGAAAAAGGATATTAATTGGAAAATCTCATTGAATTTTTGTGATCCTCATACAAAACAGTGTGAAATAGAAGTTTAATGGATTATAAACTTGCAAAATATTGCAAATCAATTACCGGATGTATTCAATAACTCGAGTAAGTCACTCAATCATATATCCAAGATGTTAATGCTCCGGCTAAAATAATTCTCCCTGATGGACCAATTGCAAGTGCTAATGAATCAGCGACACGCTTGAAGCGTGGTAGATCACTCGGTTCCAAAGACAAACATCCTCGAAAGAAAAGAGGAATTAATGATGATAATCATGAAAATATCATAAATGATATTGATAAACCCTAATCTAATGAAGAAGTCAACCCCGAAATAATTGCTCAAGAAAAGCAAGATCTTGAAGAACATGATGAGATTATTGCAAACTCAATTAACTATGTTATTTCAAGAAAATGTTAGAATCGTAAAGAGACAATCATTGATAATGTCTTTGCATATTGTTTGACACTTGATATAATGGAAGAAAACGAGGATCCAGATCCAAAATCGGTTCATGAATGTTTGCAAAGAAATGACTGGCCAATGTAGGAAAATACGATTCAATCAGAGCTTGACTCATTAAACAAAAGGGAGGTTTTCGGATCAATTATTCAAACAGCGGATGGTATAAAACCAATTGGATACAAATGGGTGTTTGTACGAAAAAAAATGAGCATAATAAAATTGTGAGATATAAAATCCGTATTGTAGCTCAGGGATTCTCATAAAGACCTGGAGTAGATTTTGACGAAATATACTCTCCAATTGTTGATGGAATAACATTTAGATACCTTGTGAGCCTAGCAGTGAGAGTAAAACTCGATATGCGTCTTTTAGATGTAGTTACTGCATATCTTTATGACTCATTGGATACTGATATTTATATGAAAGTTCCTTAGGGATTCAATATGCCTGAAGCATTCAAATTAAACCCAATGGAATCATATTCCATCAAATTGAAAAAGTCATTGTATGGACTTAAACAATCAAAGTGAATGTGGTATAACCGTCTCATTGAATGTTTAATAAAAAAGGGTTATACTACTGATCCAACATGCCCATGCGCCTTTATTAAAAAAATGGATCAAATTTTGTAATCATTGCAATATATGTTGATGATCTCAATTTAATTGGAACTTCTGAAGAGATCCAAATTGCAGTTGAATATCTAAAGAAAAAATTTGAGATCAAGGATTTTGGAAAGACAAAATATTGTATGAGATTAAAAGTAATTTTATATGGATAAATCTCAATATCTGAATACGCCAATGGTGGTCAGATCCCTTGATCCCAGTAAAGATCCATTTAGGCCAAGAGAAGAAAATGAAGAAATACTTAGCCCCGAGGTACCATATCTCAGCACTATTGGCACATTAATGTACCTTGCAAATTGTACCAGACCAAATATATCTTTCTCAATAAATTTACTGGCCATATTTAGCGCATCCCCTACAAAGCGTCATTGGAATAGTATCAAACACATTTTTCGTTATCTTCAGGGGACTCATGACCTCGGTTTATTTTATTTGAGTGAATCTATGAATTAATTGGTTATGCTGATTCTAGTTATCTGTCTAATCCACACAAAGCAAAATCTCAAAGTAGCTATTTATTTAGTTGTGATAGAACCGCAATCTCTTGGAAATCTGCTAAACAGACTATAATAACTACTTCTTCAAACTATTATGAGGTTTTAGCAATTCACGAAGTTAGTCTTTATTGTGTTTGATTGAGGTGTATGACTCACCATATTCAGAAAAATTGTGACTTGATTTCTGATGATGTATTACCTCCTACAATATTATTAGAAGATATTGCATCTTGTATAGCTCAATTGAAATGAGGATATATCAAAGGCAATAG